TAAAAAAGTGTGGGTCTTCTCTTCATCTTTAAACTCTTCTCTACATCCACAGACTGCAAGAGCGCTGACTCCCTGAACAGAAATAAACTGAAATATTTGGGCCTTTATATGTCTAAAATCCAGCCCCTCCGTTTTATCCTATATAACCCAAAATATGTATGTTTTTCAAATGATAGCCGTGTGCTGACTTCTAGACTGCAGTGACAGACCGGAGGCAGAAGGCTGCAACAGGCAACTTGGGAACAAGTATAATGGCTTCAGCATGTGTTAAGGCAAGATCACAAGGACTGGATAAGGTTACTATGGCTGGCCAAGTCCTGGAGGTTTGCTGGCTGGGCTGTGGTGCAAATCTTCCTTGGTAAGAATTGTAGAATACGTTGCTCAAACTCTGTCTAGGCAAAATTTTAGCACTGGTATTTAAGCAAGAATTGAGAGAATGACATTAAGTGCCAGAACTGGATTTGAAAAGTCATCTTAAGCATCTGCAGTAGAGTTTTGGGTTTGTTTTTTCTTAAAAAGCATCGTTGCTGTGAAATGTAAGAGTCGGACCATGGCTGTGCAGGCAGGGACACGCACCATGAAATGGACAGCATAGGACACCATAGGGATCTGAGGATGGACAGGGGAGAAAATCCTGCACCTGGGCAGGAGGGCAAAAGACCCCTACATCTTTTAGTGTGGGAGCAGAGAGGCAGCCTTGTGCAGCCACATGCCGCACACTTTACATGTGGGTTGGCTGCTGCCAGGCAGCCTCTGTGAGCCACCATGTGCTGGTAGGTGTCCAGGTGTCCCAGGCTACATTTGGAGCCCCACAGGGCTGAGATAGCATGGGGCTCCTCACTGAAACCGTCATAGCTTGGATGAGATGCTGGCAGAGCAGTACATTAGCAATGCCAAAATCCTGAAGGCTTCTTTGCCTGGAGCCAGCGGGGAAACAGCCCTGTGCTGGCTATGTCCCTGGGTTGTGCTGGCTACGTCCCTGGGTTGTGCTGGCTATGTCCCTGGGTTTTGCTGGCCATGTAGCTGTCTTGCAGCCCTGTAGGCTGTGGGGCTGCCATCACAGGAGCTATGGGAAGGAGTCTATCATGAAGGAGGTGTGGCTTGTCATGCATGTGTTGTGCAAAGGAGACTGACCATTTCAAGCTGGGCCCAAAATTGTCTATTTCAAATGCTCCACTCTCCATGGCCATGTAGATGCACAAAGCTGCCTTTGCTCTAAATTAAATTACGTGGATAATACTGTGCATAGCGAAGATTTTACTTCATCACCCTCCCAAAATAGCACACGTCAGGAACAAAAGAGATAGGAGTTGTGAAGGCAAACATTGTGAGGGCATGGTTAAAATGGCCGCTACCTTCAGGACAGTGTCAGCAGAGCAGCGTGATGCCTGGCTGTCCCAGGTGCTCACTGCATGGCCATATGTTCAGCATGGTCTGCATCTCCTGCACCCCCTTCCTCCTCCATGGGATTCCTAGGACAGACACGGTGAGATCAGAAAGGCATGTCCCCTGTGAACTGGGGATGCAGGCAGCTCTCCTGCCCAAAAGTGATGCTCAGGGCCCATGTGCCCTGCTGTCCTGGGCTGTCCCTGCCCATTAGCAATGGACACAGGGTGACTCAGGGAAGGTCTCGGAAGTGCTGATGGTCTAGCAGGCGGCCAAGGCACAGGGAGAGCACAGTGTAAAGTGTGGGAAGCCAGAAAATATCCTCCTTCTACTGCTATGAGGGCAAGGACAGAGTCATAAGCAGTGAAGGAGGCACCAAGTGATCCTGTCAGGCTTGTAAGGGTGCAATGATGCTCACATTACCTCCTTGTCATGGAGATCTTCACAATATGTAACTCAAGGTCTCTCTAGGCTTGATTAGAAACAGACACCCCAAACTTTGCACTGAAACTTTGAGGCCATCTCCAGTTACAGGAAGTCTGGGCATATCCATATGCAGATGTATGCAATTTGTTTCACTTCATCTGTTAGCATGACTCTTTTCAGGTCAGCAAGCCTGTTTCTAGGGAATGAGAGTTACTTCTTGGGATGCTCAACTGAGGGTGGATGCATGCCATCCCCTCCCTACGCCACCACCGTCCATGGTCCCTGCCTCTTGCCCTCCATCCCACTGTTGCTGCCCCTCTCTCGGAGGCAGCTCACCCCTGCCAGTGCCCACCCGCTGCGTGCACAGCAGGGACCATGGCTTGCTCCTTGGGGCTGACATCTTGTGGTGGAGATAACTATCGCTGCTGAAAGCCCTGGGCCCAGCTCCCAGCTGCAGTTTGAGCTATGCAGTGAACAAAATTAGATCAGACCCAGAGCTTTTCTGTGTCTGTGTCTGTGTGTGTGTGTGTGCAGACCTTAGCTAGCTGAGCCGCTCAAGCAGGTAAGAAATGGCAGAGGAGTTCCCAAGGAAAAGCCTCAGGTCTTGTGTTTGCTGCTGCTGGAGTCCTGGGAGGTAGGGAGGCAGCCAGTGCAAAGGCATGGGGGAAAATGTACTGAGCTTCCTGACATCATAAATAATAGAAAGAAATGAGGAAACAAATTCCTGGAATACTTTTATTTATTTATTACTTGCCTCTACTGACTGTCATAGGTGGTAGTCCATTGCTGCAGACTTTCTGGAACTGTTTTATTACCAGTAGTTTTGCAAATAATAAATACCATGGCTGTAGCGTATGATTTACCCAGGTTGTGGGGCAGGGCACTGTCCCAGCCCACTTTGAATGGGCCTGTCCACCTGCATCCCCCAGAAGCGGTGGGGGAGATCAGCCAGTCAGAAAGTGCAGGTGCACAGAGGAGGCAAGGTGGCAGGCACTGACTTGGACACCCGTCCTGGTGCCCAGGGAGCACACATCTTAGCAAAATGTTCCTAAGGATCAAAGCAAAGAGAGTTGAGATGGATAGACAACATCAGGCTTTGCTCATCTTTACAGCGAGCTTCTCAAAAGCCTGAGAACAGTAGTAGAGAAAGTGACAAATCTGAAAAGACAGTAGGGTGGCAGTGGCAGATAGCTCCTGCATCTCCTGTGCCTTCACCTCAGGTCTGCCTTCCACGCCTCTATACTAACTGGGAAATTTTTTCTCAAATCCCTTTCGTATCTCACCCTCCCAAGCTTAAACCTGGACCTTCCTTGCCCTTGTGCCCAAGGGTGACAGCTACATTTCATCCTCTTGTTTTCATCCCAGTCAACTCGACACAGTCTTTCAGCTGCACGAGTGAGAAAAGGACGAGGATACATACACCTTCTCACAAGCCGTTCACGTTTTTTTTGTCTGTGAAGCAATGGCAGAGCCAGTCACAGAAGGGCTAAGCTGTAAATATACCATGAATTAGGTGAAAGGATGTTGTAATGAATGCTGGAAAAGATGGGGATTTCCAAAGACACAGGCTAAGATGCCTGAGTTGGCATTAATGACCCTGGATATGACACTGCTGAGCGAAAGCTCCCGGTGCGGACATCACTAGCTGGTGGAGCTGTTTCCCAGAAAGACAGGTGCTGGATTGAGAATATTTAAAAATAGGCTAATGTGAAATTTTAAGAAAAGATTAGCCAGTTGGCATGCTCTTGGCTTGGTAATGAGAGCACGGTTAGGAAGTACCACTGCACCCTTTCCTTCCTGGGCCTTTAGGAACTGAGTATGGTGGCTCAAGGTTAAACCCTGCAGTAGGTACCACGTTTTTTTGTCCAAAGATCCCAGTCAGAAATGTGGGCAAGTGTGACACTGGGCTGCACAGCATATGCTAAGTGGGCCAGTTGCCCACACAAATCCCTCTTTTTCTGGTCTGGGGACAGCCCGCTGCACAGACAGCCACGGCCACTTGCCATGGATCCCCACCAGTGTCCTGCTGGTGTGGTTAATGAAGGAGACACTGCTCTTGCTGGAGACAGGAGGTGGGCAGGAGAGGATGACCCATCACAGTGCCTTTGCCTGTGCCTGTGGATACATATGTCCCATGACAGAATATCAAAGGTGGTTCTACTCATAGCTGCTAAGCCTTAGAGAGGCAGTGGCTGAAGTGTCCACCTCCTGCTTTGCCATACTGTTTTCGTATGTCATGGCCTGTTAATTATTAATTGCTCAGGGCAGTCAGGCAGGAACAGCCTCCCAGGCTTGCTGTTAGAATCCTCTCATTGCTCTCTGCCCCATGCACAGGCTGGCATGTTTCCATAGGTGTATCACACCAGCCTTTTCTGTGGCACCAAGTGCTATTCATAGTCTCTTTGCCAAAGTCCTCTCTGAAGGCTGTGGGGGTGACTGTGGGTGTCAGTCAGCAACACCTCTGCTGACACACCACCATTGCCCAGGGATGCACAAATAGAAAACAGATCCCACCAAGTGCCACGTGTTGGGGCTGCTGTGTGTCCCTGGTTTTCTACCATGTGTTATTCAGTAGGGGAGCACGGATGGGCTCGTGACTGGGGACCACCCTCTGAGGCCTGGGTTCGGGCCCCTCTGTCCTCAGAGACCTCCCCTGTGGCCAGAACCAAGTAATGTAGGGCTCCATGGGGTTCAGTCCCACTGCCCACAATAGGGTCTTACTGGTATACGTGCATGTAAGCATTCCATATTTCCACCGGGCTCCCGGAGGCAGACCGGGAGGATCCAACAGAGCTCACTTCAACCTCAACTTCCCTGGCTGTGCTGGCATCTGTGGGCTGCGATCAGCCCTCCTGCCATGACAGCCACCTCCTCCCTTGAATGCAGACCGGCCAGGTGCCCGTGCTGCCCCTGAGCTGAGGGTTGAGATCTCTGAGGTTGAGGCCAACACCTTTCCTGCACCCAGGGTAGCCCTCTGCTTCACCTCCCACCTCTGCCCAGGGTGGTGTCAGCCTGTCTGCCTGTGTTTGGGGACTGCTCCCCTACAGCCATGGCTAGCGCTAATTGGTTGAATCAATTAATTTGTCAAAAAATTTACATCTGTTTCATTCTCTCTCTCTTTCTCCCCCTCCCCACACTGCTCAAACCTGCCTTGCTCTCCCCTCTCTGCCCTCCCCTGCCCCAAACAGGTAAGGAGAGCAGTTTGGGAGAGGCTGACTTGCAGGCGAGCTCTGACCCTTCGGGAATGGACAGCAGCTACCTCAGCGTGAAGGAGGCTGGAGTGAAAGTGCCCCAGGACAGGGCCAGCACGGACCTCCCCAGTCCCATGGACAAGGCCGACTCAGAGAGCAACAAGGGCAAAAAGCGGAGGAACCGCACCACCTTCACTAGTTACCAGCTGGAGGAGCTGGAGAAGGTCTTCCAGAAGACTCACTACCCAGACGTCTATGCAAGGGAGCAGCTAGCCATGAGGACAGACCTCACCGAGGCTCGTGTACAGGTAAAAGACGGATGGCCTGGGGCTGGGTGAGGGGTGATCTAGCTGCAAACAAGACCCTGCTCTCTGGGGAATGAAACCATGAGCCCTGCAAATTTGTTGTGCTTCGCTGTGCCTGAGGTCCCCTCCAGCCCCACCACAGCCTGCCAGCAGCTGAGCTCTACCCAGAGCCCGTGCCGTAGGCTGGCACACCTCTCCAGCAGGAACAGGATGGGGAGGCACGTCCATGTCCAATGCTAGCATGGTCTCCTTTATTTGGGCTGCTGTCCTGAGCTCCAGTGTTCGTAGAGATACCTCTTGTCCTTCAGCTCATGGGGCAGCAGGCTGGTAAGCCTCACTGTCACCCTAAACAAAGCTATTACAAAACCTGCTTTCTTCAGGAGACTCAGCAGGAGACACAGGTTCATTAGTCTGAGTAGGAGCAACTGTAGGAGTTTCCTACAGTATGGGCTCTTTCTGGCAAGGTAGGGATGCAGAGGTGACCAGGACATTCAGTACCAGAAAGCATGAGGCAATACAGGAGAGGCAGTTCTTGTTGCCTGCTTGGCTAAGCAGGCATTGAGACTGCACGAAGCCTGGTGATCTGAAGCAAAAAGCTGCTCCCACCACCTTGAGAGGAGCAGGAGAGTCAAACAGCTGCAGTGCCATCTCAACTGCCTCCATCCACACGGGTGCCAGTTCCCATGAACTAGCTTCCCTGAACTAATGTGGGGGTCCAGCAGAGCCAAACTCCACATCAAAGGAGCAAATGATTCTCTGAGTGCCACTCTTTACTCTGTCAAGGTTAAACCAAAGGCCTGGCAGAGCTCAGAAGCATGTGCAAAAAAGGAGCACCATCACTTGGAGCAGACATCCACCTTGATGACCATCAAAGGTCCTGTTGAAGATTAGGCTCTCATTCTCCAGACTAGCTAATCCTGTGACTTCCATCTGCAGGCATTTCTCAGCTCACCACCGCCAGAACCTGCATTAGCATCAAGAATAGCTGGTCTGTGGAGACATCTGATTGTATCTCTTATACCAGAAGACTCCCAGGTCCCAGGCAGCCCAGCTCGCCCTCTGCTCTAACCTTTAATCGTTGTGTACAGTTGAAGCAGTCAGGCCAGCATCCTTGCCTAAGTCCATTTTAGTCTGTACATTTACTTCCACTTTCAGCTAGATGCAGGATTTTTCTTGTCTGCTCGCCTAAATTGATTTTCAGGGCTGGTGTGCTCTTCTTCCTCACAGCTGTTTCTCTTCAGGCCAGACACGACTGCATTTCAATAGAAAGCAGCGCAATTCCCATTGGTCCTGGACATAGGGTTCTGAGCACGGGCAGAGAAGGCAGCACTACAAACATTAGTGCTTTACTTCTGCCACTGGACTCAGACTTTGATTTCCCGAGACACATAACCGGCGCTGATGGGGTCTCCTGGGAGGCCCGAAGCAGCATCAGGTTACTGACTGCCCAGTGCCTGACATTCCTTTTGCTCAGGAATGAGAATGAGGTGCTGGAGGGCTTCGAGTTCCTCCTACTCTCTTCTGAGCCAGGGTGTGCATCTAGCACAACCCAGCTAGCCTGCAGCGCTGGCCAGCAGAGCCAGGGCAGGCGAGGCAGATGCAATCCACAAGCTCATTACAGATGACCCATGATCACAGGGTTTTTTTGGGTTTTTTTCCCCACTTTACTACTGGATAACACCGCAGGGTACCTCCCCAGGCACCCAGGAGGAAATCTGGCAGAGGGCACAGCCTGGGGGTTTTATAGGCTCATAGAATCATAGAATGGGTTGGAAGGGACCTTAAAGATCATCCGGTTCCAACCCCACTGACATGAGCAGGGACACCTCCCACCAGGCCAGGTTGCTCCAAGCCCCATCCAACCTGGCCTTGAACACTGCCAGGGAGGGGGCAGCCACAGCTTCTCTGGGCAACCTGTTCCAGGGTCTCACCACCCTCATCATAAAAAATTTCTTCCTAATATCTAGTCTAAATTTCCCCTCTTTCAGTTTGTAACCATTACCCCTCATCCTATCACTACACTCCCTGATCAAGGATCCCTCCCCACCTTTCCTGTAGCCCCCTTTAAGCACTGGAAGGCCGCTAGAAGGTCTCCTCTTCTCCAGGCTGAACAATCCCAATTCTCTCAGCCTGTCCTCATGAGGGAGGTGCTCCAGCCCCTGCTCATCTTGATGGCCTCCTCTGGACCCACTCAAGCAGGTCCATGTCCTTCTTACACTTCACCGTGCCCCAAGGTAAGTGCTCCCGCAGCCCAATGCCACAGGCAGCCGAGAACAGCCTCTGTCCTCTTGCAACTGCCTGCGCACACCTCTCACTTGGGACAGCGATGACAGGGCTCGTGTAATGGAGCAGCTGAAGGACTTGTCTAAGTGGCCTGGTCCGTCAAGCACTTAGCACAGGGTGAAAGGGGTAAGCACTTGCATTTCACTCGTTCCCTCAGCCCTGTCAGGAAGGACCCCATCCCTCGGGCTGCGGGCTGGCATCCAGCCACCGCCTTGTGATGAAGGGCTGCTGTGCCATCGGTAGAACAGCAGACTCCCTGGGACTGGAGAGCGAGAACCAGCAGGCTCGTGCAGAGTGCTGTGGGTGCTTGCTGGGCAGGCTTAGGGTCACCCCAGGTGCTCAGTATTTCATGTGGGTTCCCAGGGGGCTGGGGCTGCCAGCTAGTGAGCTGTTTAGCCTCAGCATTTTGTCAGCAGCCCCCAGGAGGCACAGGGATGCAGCCTGGGATGGTAAGGGGCTCTTCTGCTGATGGCACAGGGTTGCACTTCCCATGAGGGAGGCTTTCAGGGCTGGGGCATTAGTGAATCACCTTAGCACTTGTCTCCAGCTCTGGGCTGTTATAGCTTGTTTAGGCTTGGCTTTGGCCTCTCACCCCTCTGCTCTGTGGGGACCTCACCATATCAGCATGCCATGGGGCAGCAGCCCAGGAGACCAATGGTGAAGGAAACGCCTACTGCAAGGACCAAGGGCCCAACTAGGGCCAAGGCAGAGGGTGGAAATCACACGAGCCCCTTAGTGCTTTCCTCCTGTAAGCCAAACAGCCACTACATACTCAGACGCCCGCCACCAAGCTGGCAGGGGCTCTGGTTGCTGTGGGGTGTCTGGGCATACACCTACTGCAGCCCCATGGGCTTTGAGGGGAGCTCAACAGCCCCTCTCCCAAGGAAGGTATGGTCTTCTAAAGGATGGCAAATGTCCTGAGATAATTTCACAGAGGCCAGCTTCAGCTGCCTGCGGGGCTGAACGATGCAATGCGGAAGGGCAGGAAGGCGAGGTGTCCAGCAGGTTTGAGATGTGATGATCCCTCCCATGGCTGAGCCTGCTTTTGGCTGGAGGTTGTCCCCTCTGGCCAGGCTTGGCTCCCTGAGGGATACAACCAGCTGCCACTCTGCAGGCAGGGAGCCCAGACAGGCAAGTGGCAGCTCTGTTTTTTTCCCATCCCTTTCCCAAGCTGACGCTTCATTAGTGAAATAGCTGCCGGAGATCTCAGTGCCTGGAAAAGAGCTTATGCCAGCAGCAGCCACAGGGTGGGCCATGCTGTCTGTGGAGCCGTGGCATCCCGCAGCCTGGCCCCTCTCCTGCTCAATTTCTCTGCCTGCCTTGGTTTCCAGCCATCAGTGTTGGCATCCGACAATGTCAAAGCTACTTCCCCCTGCGATGCAGTGCAACATCTTCCCTGCCTGCCACCCACAACCTGGCCTCTTGTTGCCAAGTACTATTAAGCTGCTGCGTGTCCCTGTTTTCTGAAGCAGGAGCCGTGCGTAAGCCCTGCGCAGAGGCAGAGCCACCTAGCCGGGGAAAGGCTGCTAGGGCTCAGAAACAAACTTGCAAGGGTGTGCAACAGGCGCGGTGTTCATGTAGGTCCTTTGCAGCATGCATATCCCATTCCTTTCTCCTCCTCTTCCATCTCTGGGGCTGCAGAGCCCCGGAAGGAGCTCCTGCTTGTTACCAGCAACTGCCTGAGCTTCTTCCAGCCCATCCAGAGCTGCAGCAGATGACTGAGGTGGTGGCACTACAGAAACACGGTAAACATGTGTGTTCACACATGGCTCCTTCCCCTTGCACACACACATGCATACACATCCCAAGCCCATGCCAGCCTGGTCCCGACTGTTCATCTCTTTTAGGTTGGGAGTATCTCAGCCTCCTGGCCTGCCCTGTGGCAGAGGAGAAAGAGATGGGGCTGGAAGGAGGCTTTGCAGCCAGGGAATAGAACCCGTCAGCCCGCCCCCCTCAGAGCCAGCCTTATGATTGCTGGGCCTGTTAATGAAATGTTTTCGGCGGTGAGCCTGTGATGCGGCGGGGGCTTGAAAGTGAGAGGGAAATGTCAAACTCCGCTGTAGCAAAATCACCGCCTTGGAAAAAAAAAGAAAAGAAAAAAAGCAAAGCAAAGCAAGAAGTAATATATCTTGATCCCTTTTCCCCCATAAAACCCTGGGAGGCTGGTGGAAGGAGCGGAAAGACTGAGCTAAGCCTGCAGGAAATTAAACATGAAATGAAAACAAGCTCGAGTTATTCAGTTCTCTCATCCCAGGCTCCAATTTCCCATTCCAGGCCACTGATAAAATGGTGTCCAGTTTCAGCGCTCAAGGATGAATTCTGGCTCTGTTCTTGCAGGCTGGAAAGCAAAGGGCTGGTGGCCATCTCCAGGAAGAGGGGAGACGGCCTGGCCTTTCACAGAGGGATGGGGTCCTGGAGACAGACAGACAGAGAGATGGATGAAGGTTGCACGGTGGGAGGAGGGCAGCAGGGCCAGAGGACAGGGACGGGGAGAACGGATGCTGCCAGGGGAGAGTGGAAGCACAAGAGGCTCGAATGCGGCAAGCAGTTCTTGTCTGCATCGAGGAAACGATACAGCCAGGGGGTGCTTGAGCACCCGGCAGATCCAGCCCCGTGGCTGTCACCAGCCTGCCACCACACCTGCAGAGGCCAGCCTCACCCTTCACCACTGCACTAGGGTAGGAGAGGAGGAAATCACCTTTTTCTTTAATTTGGGGGAAGGACATAGGCAGAGATGCAATCCGTAACAATCCAGCCACGTCCAGAGGGGCCTGGGTGAGGTCCCAGCTCAGCCCTTCCACCCGTGCCCTGTGTGGGGCACATGGGGCTTGGTGGCAGGGGCAGTGCTGGCTGGGCGCCTGGGTAGCAGCAGTGAGGCAGCGAGCAGGAGCCTCCCGCTTTCTTTGTCTCAGGCCGTTCCTGGCCTCTCCACCCCCCTCATCACGTCAGCTCTGTATGCATGTGGATTTAGGTACCAGCATATGGCTGAATGTTTATGGAGACATGAAACATTTTCTGTTCTGTAGATTTTTATAGGGCTGATTTGGTACGTCAGGGCTTATCAAAGCATTGTCTGCAGGAGTCAGATACATGACATTACCCTACATTCCCACTCTGATCGTTAACACTGAGATGCAGGCCACAGCGACTGCTTATCCCTGCACAAAGTAGCCCATCCTGACCTGGACATGCTGCACGAGCTGCTGCAACCTCCACTGTCACATCCCCTTCCCATAGCAGCCTCCCTTGATGAAAGGCAACAGGCAATGAACCCTTTGCTGGGGCTTAGATCTGCTTTTTAAAAGCAGGTGTCTTCTAAGATTGAGGAAATACTTAGGATTAATTGGTTTTTTGCTGACATCTTCGCATTATACATTGCCTTGCCTGCCCTCTTTTCCCTGGAGCACTGTGGAGGCCTCAAGAGACCTAACTGCAAGATACCAAGCAGTCTAAAAGGACTTGGACCACAGGAGAAAGGAGAACTCTAAAAAGTGGTCCAAACCTTGTCACAAGTGTTTCAGAGCAGTGGCTCACTGACAGCACCAGCACCTGGACTGAAGACACTCTTCTTTTTCAGCCCAACACAACAACTTGTCACAGCCTCCCAGCCCTCCAGCTATGTGGGGATTGCAGTTTAGGAACTGCCAGTTTAAACTATTTTGCTCTGCCAGTGCCAGTTCAATTCAATGCATAAATGAGGAGCAGCAGAGCAAAAGCCTGTGCCAGAGACCCCGCTCCACCTCGGCTGGCTGTGGGAAACCTCCTCGGGCTGTTGTCCTCTCCCAGGCAAGCCGAGCGCACAGACACTGTGCTGATGGCTTTGGAGGGATGCCATCGGGTGGGATGTTCAGGTGGGCTCCCCTGCACAGCAGTGCAGGTAGGCCAGTCAGTGCCTTCGCCAGGCAGGGGAACGGCTGCATATGCCTGGCATATGTTTGCCCTGGCCTTGCGCACAGCCAGGGCTCTGGGCTGTTGTCCTCTCCCAGGCAAGCCGAGCGCACAGACACTGTGCTGATGGCTTTGGAGGGATGCCATCGGGTGGGATGTTCAGGTGGGCTCCCCTGCACAGCAGTGCAGGTAGGCCAGTCAGTGCCTTCGCCAGGCAGGGGAACGGCTGCATATGCCTGGCATATGTTTGCCCTGGCCTTGCGCACAGCCAGGGCTCTGATCCCCTACCTGCTCTCCGCCCCTCTGTGCACAGCAGGGCCTCCTCTGCCCGAGGAGGAACCGGGTCACCACCGCTAACTTTGAATCTGCAGATCAAAGCAGCACGGTCTGGGCCAGCCCTAGGACTGGCCTGCAGCTGGGCTGGAGCAGCTGTGCCAAGAAGAGGTAGAAGAAAAGCAGACCGATGCCTGGGGCA